ACACATATTCTATAGACCTACTGACACATATGTTACAGACCTACTGATGAGTCACAGCACACATAAACATTCGTCATTTCAGACATTTGTAACGAAGCTGTGCTCCGTCGCTAGATCACTCACTTCAAACGCTATCAGTTTCACGCGTCTCGGACCACGGTTCCTCAGTTTCAGACGACATGTCAAATAACGATGCTGTTATAGAATCTAACGATTGTTGTCGGGTCCCCATACAATCAACAAATACATTCACGCCTGGATTCTTCACAAAACGAGCAAAGAGAAAAGTTCGAATTAACTTCCAAAAATAACTCCCTCGTGGAGGTCAAGGTCCCATTCACGGTGTTCACTGTATTTATCCATGCGCGAAATTTGTTCCGGGGGAAAATCGAAACAATTTCAAATCTAACTTTCAGCTCAGATTTCTATTTGAAAACTGGAATCACCGTATAGACATATCATACGTATTACGCAATTGTATTGATACTATATTGTGGAATAAATTTGAAGTGTTGGTGAAAATGTCAAAGTACTACTTTGTTTGCCAATCAGCACACGACAATACGCTGTTCAAACTATTGAACGAAATTGTGTGGACTGTCGATAAGGCGGGCATTTTTAAATTTAATTATAAATTATAAGTTAAAAAAGAACATAAGAGGCAGAGAAAACGTAAATATAAGTATTGAACTGTTTTTGTATGATATTTATGATCTATTTGAATGACACAGCTTTGCAAGCAAACAAATCATAATGCGCTAGCGCGCATTATGTTGTTTGCTTGCAAAGCTGTGTCATTCAAATAGATCATAAATATCATACAAAAACAGTTCAATGCTTAAGTACATCCTAAAACTACGCGCGGAACAAAACCATAAACTAACGGTAAACTCTCAAATACGGCACCTAGTATTTATAGTGATTTCAGAGATTTTTATTATCACTCAGGCACACTATTGTGCGCAACAAGAGGTCATCATAAAGTACAATATAACAATGATAAACACAATATTATACGATTCATACGTACTATCATACCTTATTATAATAGACAATATAACGCACTGCTCATACAATGACACTCATCATACACTGTGATATACATTATTACACTTTTTTTACAATACTATTACGATGGTATAATACATAGCATTACATTCACCCATACCGTGCGTTCACACAGTGGTATAGCAGGCACTGTTGAGAAATGTTGGCACGACATTGATCAAGTTAAATCGAGGAAACACGATAGCGTGATAAATCTTGCACGCGCAAAAGAACAGCGTCTAATTTGCATATCAAACTATCTAGGTCATGTCGCCTTATAAGACAGCAAAACTTTACAATTAGTTACATTTGACGTGGTAGAATAAAAATAATCAACTAATGTGCGTGCATTATGGTGGAATATATAACTCAGGATTTTTTTAATTTTCTGCGCATATAAACAAATAATGATACTCGCTTCCAACTCCAGTTAAACAAAGCGGACAGATTCTGCCTTCATGTGGTGTTCTAGTCCACCGCCCAGTCTCTATTGGCAGAGATATATTACTGGTTCTGAACTTACAGATAGTTATTCTATATTTTTGTTTGAGCATAGTTAAGAATTTTTCAAACTGAAATTGATGTTTAAATATTGCATATGTTTGACCCCGGGAAGAATTTTCAATATCAGTATAGCATTGTTGTATAAATTGGTCATACAGAATAGTTTTAAAACTAACCCTAAGGTAATTTTTATTCATAGTGCAAGTTTTTGTTGTAACCATACGTAACTTAGTCCCGTGCAATTGAACAGATTCTTGATATATAAAATCCATTTAAAACCAGCGAAATCATTTTCATGTAAATTCAGCATAAGCTTGTACATTATACTAGACAATTTATTTTCACTTGTAATTAGTTTATACCAAAACATTATCATTCTAGATTTAATTTCAATATTCAGAGGGTACCTACCCGTTTCACCATATACCATTATATTTGCTGTGGAGCTACGTATGTTTAAAATTCTTTTAAAAAACTGTACATGTAATTTCTCAATCATATTGGTATTTTCAAACCCCCAAAATTTCTGAGGAGTACAAAATGATTGGGGATATTAATACATCAAACAATTTTAATTGTAGGTCAATTGGTAAAATAATATTTCTTATTTTTTTATATAATGCATGCATTGCTTTTTGAGCCTGTTCAATAAGTTTTTTCTTGCTTTACAGAAACTGCCACTATAATGAAACAGCAGTCCTAGAAACGAGTAGCTGTCATGTGTTTGCAACTCTTCACCGAAAAAAGAGTAAAACGAATATATTGTGCATTACTTTTTCTTTTTTCAAAGATAACAACTTTAGTTTTATTGAGATTAACTTTAAGTTTCCAAATAGAAAAGTAGGTTTCAAATTCACGGAAAGCATTTTGTAGACCTTTAGCTATTTCTGACATAACAACTGTGTCATCTGCATATAGCAGAATAAATAATTTAACAAATATACCCATGTGTTCTTAAAATAAATTATCAAAATACTGGAGTTGGTCAACATTACTTTGCATGAAAAATTATTCTAAATCATTTAAATATATTGAGAACCAAAATGGGTAGAGATTTTCACCTTGTTTTACCCCGACGTGTCATGTGAAAAAATCAGTCATACCATTGCTAGTTTTTACGCAAGATTTAGTGTTTGCATACAGATTATTTATAGCAATAAATATCTTTCCTGTGATATTATTCTTTAATAATTTCTTCCATAAACCTCCCCTCCAAACAGTATCAAACGCTTTTCTGAAATCAATGAATGAACAGAATAGCTTTTTACTTTTTGAAAAGTATATAGATATTAAAGCATGAAGGATAAATATATTTTCAGTTGTAGAGTAGCCTTTCCTAATAAGATCAATTTCTTCTGAAAGTCTATTTAATCTAGAGTTCAAAATAGCAGTAAATACTTTGCCAAGTCATGAGATTAATGTAATAGCTCGATAGTTATCGATATTTTTAGGGTCACCCTTCTTTTTGTATATGGGTTTTATTACTCCAATTGTCCATGCTTCTGGTACACGGCCAGAGTCCAATATAACATTAAAAAGTTTAACATATATAGGAAGTAGTATAGACTGTGTATTTTTGATTTGCTTATTTAATATATTATCGATACCCCGCGCTTTATTATTACGAAGGCTAACTATAACCTGTCTAATTTCCTTTTCAGTCACTATAATTAGCAGCACCTTTGCTGGTGCCATGCGCGTGGACAGTATCGATTGTCTGACCATATCACACAGAATGTCTTAGTCTTCTGTCACTCCCTAGAGTATGACAGATATCACACAGAATGTCTTAGTCTTCTGTCACTCCCTAGGGTATGACAGATATCACGCAAAAAGAAGCTATACTATGACGTCACAATCAGCTTTCAACAGGACAGGTCATATAAAAATCAGGATAAAATAAAAGAGTACAAATGCTGCAAACTACTGTTTTCAAGCATATAGTATCGGAATGACGGGAGGATAACGGATCACTATTTGACTAATGGTCATTATATAAGCCTATAAGGATCTAACTGTTCCCAGTTCAGATTGTAGCAAATGATCAAATCTGATCATTTTTAAATACCAATATTTTTTAGTATTCAACTGTTGGTGTGCTTCTGTTTCTCTAGAATCAGATATCCTATATGTATTTTCAGTTATGAATGTGAAGAGCTTTAACATCACACTCTATATATAATGTCTGCAGAAACGGGTTAACTGACCTTTCTCTTAGAAATGATCTACTAAAATCTTAGAACATCGATGCAGAGAGCAAAAGATAGCATTTTTTAAGAATATAATTCATGTTTAAAAATTTCAGAAACATATGTAGAAATAAAGCAAAATGGTAACGGTGCCTATAAAACATTTTATATCACATAACTGACCCTTTTTACATATGGTATTACACATGTGTAATAAAACCTAAAGGCGCTGCGATTGGTCAAAACCGTGAGATCATCTTCCTATACGCCACTACGGGTACCAGTTTTATTTACTATACCACATGATACATTTACTGTTATTCTAAATGTATTTGAAATGTTAATTTTGTCATTATTATTCTCATTGCATTTAAAACTGATTATTTAAAAAAAAAAAAAGACTGACAACACTTTGTCACTGCGCGGAACGACATTATGTATAATCGGAGTACTTTGGTTTTGATGTATTTGTGTTTGCAGATATTTTTTTTCAAGTTATATAAGTTATGTGATAAATAGAATCTTTCATTCGTTTTCATGTCATTTCAAATTTATTGAACTCGTTTATCAAATTCAATATGACATGGACACTCATGTAAGATCCTCTCTATATTAACTTTTTAAAACTAGCATTACGTGCAGGTTGTGCCAGAAAAACAAAAGTTAACTTCTTCATTAGCAAAACACACACCAATGGTAATAGTACCTAATGGTTATCTACTCATCACCAAAATCGCTGGTGATGTATCTTTAGTACTGAACATTTGCATTTTCAATCAAATATTGTTTACCTAACTACGAAGTGTTTTATGATAAAGTGATATACTCGCCTATCTTAATGGAAACACTTCATCCAAACAGATTACTCTATATCAACACAACATTAACGCATGAACTTGTTGACATCAAGAGGTTTTGGGACATAAAAAAGAACATCAAATTAAGGGTCACCAGGAAGTACATCCGTTTTTGTTCATTAAAGTGTATTGTTTTGTTTTTCTCTAGAATGTATAAAATGATATTACTGTTATGAAATCAGCAATAGTCATCACAATGCACTCTCGTTATCAAGTACACCTAGATACTATTAGACATTATCGATCTCGTCTATTCTATATACTCAAAATCCAATACCCTAGCACGTGACTATTTATCGCCGGTGGTGTCGTGTCATTCTTGAAAGTTCTATGAATACATATTGACCATATTAATCCGGCATTGTACGCTGTTGAGATGAACAACTATCTCCATTTGGAAACTATGGATGCTCCGCCGCAGATATTTGAATTAAATATTTCAGGCAAGTTGTTCGAGGTAGCCGGGGACATTTTGGCCCGGTTTCCAAATTCACGACTCGGAAAAGTGGCTGTGGAATCTCCATTGTCACCAAATCAAGGAACAGGGACAAAGAAGACATTATTCTTCAGCCGCCCCAGCACACCTTTTGATGATATTCTAGCTTACTACCAAACAGGCGAACTTCATATGCCTTCGAACGTCTGTCCCAAGGCATACAAAAGGGAGTTGGAGTTTTGGGGCTTAGACCCGGATGATATGCAGCATTGTTGTCGATTCAAGTACTTAGCGTTCTTTGACGACTTTGAGACAATCTCAGCTTTCCATGCCTGCATTGACGAAACCAGTTATGTACCGCCAAGGAACAACGTGATGTCCCCCATAGGGAAATGTCGGGCTCGAATCTGGTCTATTATAGAGCATGAGGAAGCCACTGCCATTTCTAAGGTAAGATGTACTCAATTCATTAAATGTTTTCATAGACGTGCTGTTTTTGTAGAATGCACCGCCATAGATTTGTTTCAATGTTAGACGTTTTTCTGTTCCTTTAAAGTCAACACGTGATATAAAGAGACAAATGGTATATACAATCATTGTGTTGTTGTTTTTTCGTTGAGAGTTTAATGTAGAGCACATGCATAGTGATATGTTGATATATGTTTACATTAACAAATTATAGTATAGACATTGGTAAGTCATTTGAAATCAGACAATGTTACACCTGATCTATGATCACTCAATGTTACACCTGATCTGAAATCAGACAATGTTACACCTGATCTATGATCACTCAATGTTACACCTGATCTATGATCACTCAATGTTACACGTGATATGTGACCAGTCAATGTTACACTTGATCCGTAACCAGTCAATGTTACACCTGATCTGTGACCACTCAATGTTACACCTGAACTGAGTTCAGACAATGTTACACCTGATCTACGACCAGTCAATGTTACACGTGATATGTGACCAGTCAATGTTACATCGCATCTGTGACCAGTCAATGTTAAACTTGATCTGTGACCAGTCAATGTTACACCTGATCTGTTACCAGTCAATGTTACACCTGATCTGTGACCAGTCAATGTTACACCTGATCTGTGACCAGTCAATGTTACACGTGATATGTGACCAGTCAATGTTACATCGCATCTGTGACCAGTCAATGTTACACTTGATCTGTAACCAGTCAATGTTACACCTGATCTATGATCACTCAATGTTACACCTGATCTGTGACCAGTCAATGTTACACCTGATCTGTGACCAGTCAATGTTACACCGCATCTGTGACCAGTCAATGTTACACCTGAATTGTGATCAATTAACATAAAAATACATGGCTGTTGATAAGTTGACGTTATAGATTGCCAGTTTGTAGCTACACATTCTTAGGGCCGCCTACTTTACTGTTATAGTTCCAAAACCTGTGTCCCGTTACTACAGATTTCTCAGAGAACAGAAGCCTCACTGCAGACACAAGATGGAGGTTTCCGGCACTACACATTCTGACTCGGTCTCCTTCAGGCTTGTCAACGACATTTCCGAATCGTCATGATCACATGTGGTTACTGTTTGAAAATCATGTTGTTTAAAAAAATACCTCGTATTCCTGAACTGTGTATTATATCAGGCAAATGTGAAAACTTAGATCGTTTATGAAAATAGTTAATTTAGAAAACAAACGACGAGCCGATCTGCAGCACACACATGACAATTCGTTCCCTTCTCGGTGGACGTTCTTTGGGTAAGTTACCGGGTAGCATCTAGAGTTTTGTAATGAATTTTCTTTGAACTTAAAATTGTCAATATCTATCACGCGTGACTACTAACACAGTTCGCAATGCATGGCTGGAGTTATACTGCAGGAACATTTCCCTCGTGAACAATTGTCATCATTACGGTCCGCATTTGGAAAAAAGAGAAATTATGAGGTGTGTTTGTTTCAATATACGGGAACATTATGAAATCACGTATCACTGACTTGTAAAAAAGAGTTATCGTTAGCTCGATGAACGGCTGCTGAATCTACTACAAATATAACATAAATGGAATATTGCGTTTATTATACAAGAATAGTATAGAGCGCATGTCGATTGCATTTTAATGTCAACAATAAGACCGTAAAAAATAAATAAATGAAATAATAAATAAAAGCATCAACATTCAGAAACAGCCTAAAAATGAGTACATAATAAATTTGGTTTATAAGAGACAGTCCGACATATTTATGGCAATACACGGTAAATTAATGCTGTTAGTTAATCTCTCAGATCCATTTCAACACTATGTACATACTATTGGTTAATTGTTGTTAAACGTGCTGGATGTGGCCTGAATGTATAGATTAACAATGTGTTGGCAAAACACTCTCATCAAATGGACCTTCTCCTATCTCTTTATCAATTCTAACCGAAGTGAAGTTATTAACAGTCTCTTTATTTCTACATAAATATTTAAAATAATGATTGAATAGCATCGACTTTAACGTTAATGGGAACTCTATCCCAAAGCTTTGATCTCTTCCCCGCGATATCATAGACATTCAGCACTGCTGTTACCGGTATAATTGGTAGTGCTTGTTTCAGTATTCTGGAAGCATTACATTGATCGCTCTGTACTTCACTTCATATAGATCCTTGAAATGTGAAACCCAGGAGCATTAATAAACGTTTGTGTTACGATTGTGTTTGTTTGGGGTTTACATCCTCTCAACAGCCAGGGTCATATGACGACGGGTACCTAGGGAGACACAACAGCTAGGGTCATATGAGGACGGGTACATAGGGAGATACAACAGCTAGGGTCATATGAGGACGGGTACCTAGGTAGAAACAACAGCTAGGGTCATATGAGGACGGGTACCTAGGTAGAAACAACAGCTAGGGTCATATGAGGACGGGTACCTAGGTAGACACAACAGCTAGGGTCATATGAGGACGGGTACCTAGGGAGACACAACCGCTAGGGTCATATGAGGACGGGTACCTAGGGAGACATAACAGCCAGGGTCATATGAGGACGGGTACATAGGGAGTTACAACAGCTAGGGTCATATGAGGACGGGTACCTAGGTAGACACAACAGCTAGGTCATATGAGGACGGGTACCTAGGGAGACACAACCGCTAGGGTCATATGAGGACGGGTACCTAGGGAGCCACAACAGCCAGGGTCATATGAGGACGGGTACTTAGGGAGACACAACAGCTAGGGTCATATGAGGACTGGTACCTAGGGACACACAACAGCTAGGTTCATCTGCATTGGTTAGCGTTTCGGACAAACCAACTAGGTTACCAATGCATATATGCAAACCTCATTGAACATCTCTCTTCCAAATCGAATGCGAATATTTTAAGATCATTCCACGACAAAATCATAAACAACAAACTTCCGCCCGGTGCAAGGAAAAACAAAACGCAAAGATTAATATGAATTTACATTTCAAATAACCAGAAGTGGAACCGACCGCGTCGGTTTTAAAAGAGAACCCAAGAGAACCGTAAAATTTGCTTACAGTAAACAATCTTTGAACCAAAGACCGGTCAAATCGCACTGATAATGGCAAGTCGCGTTAACACAATTACATGACTGCAACAAGAACGTATGCGTGCTCTGATCGGAGCTAAACTATAGGCACTATAATAATATGCTTCGTTGTATTTTTATGTGATCGTCGTATGTGACGATTTCATTGTCAAAACCCCTGAATTAGTTCATACCGAACCCTTATCGATGAGATCCCGAAATTGGTTGTCGTTACCCGTGGAGCTAATGAAACAGGCGACAATCCTGGTCACGGCACCAATATTGATTTTTCCGTCTTCACGTCGTGGAAGCAACAAAAGTCACTGCATATGATTAGGAACATATTCCTACGGTGAAAAGTGTAACGCAGGACGAACAGCGGGATTAATCTTACCACGAACCAACAAATAACAAACATCAATATTCACAATTAGTTAAATATAATGTACAATTACCACAATAATGACAATATACAATGATGACGATATCTACAAAGCTCATTCTCTAACACACTCCTCGCATACAAAATACTGGAAATAATTACACCAGGTAACTACAGTCTCTGTCACCACTCCACGAAGGACTCGGTAGTACTACAGCAAATTTCCACACAGGATTCCAAATATATATGAGAGACACTATGGAATATCAACACAGGATTCAATGGGCCCAGACATACTGAAATGTAGCGTATTCAAAATTTTCAACATCCATTTATATTTTAATTTGGACTATTGATAAAATTTATGGTTTCCATATACATGTACCATGTCCCAATTGCGCTTCTGTATTACATTTCGCGTTCATGCTCGTCATTATCTAGCGAAACAACTATCATAGTATTGTCAATAGACTATGAGTTATCACTGGGTTTCTATTAATGAGGTCTTTTGGGATTTGAGAATATATCACAAATCAATACAACAATTTCCTGTACATACCCTGGTCATCTGAGCGAATCAAGGTGTCGTATGACTACAATTATACAGACACAACTGTGATAGTCTAGTCACGTTATCATTGGGAAATCTATTGACTTTGTCATTCCCACAGTAGTCGATGATACTTCCGGGTACGATTTCCTAATTAATTTTTACATGATTCTGTTAAATATTATTTATTTATTTCTCTATTTATTTAGTATCTATTTTGTTTGGATTATCTGAGGTTAAATACAATTGAACTCGGATAAATTGAAAAATCGACAAAGCTGATTATGTAAAATTAATAAAACGCGGGTAAATTGAAAAATCTCAATTAACTCTGTTACTAAGTAAGCAAACATGACAGATCAAGTGTCTATTCCAATGTTTTGAGGATCTAGCAATGTGGCCATGGAAACTCATATGCTCAATTAAGCTTTCCCTAGCTGCCTATTATTTCAATAACAGTCAATGCTTGATATTAGGTTATCAACTCTAATACATCATTTTTTTATTGCGTAGAAAGTACCATTTTTGGCTAGAATGAAAGCAAACTAGAGTTTAATCAACCATCTACAAACTGACAAACACACATTAATGTCCATCGTAACCCGGATGTGCTGCAGGATGCTTCATTCACTGCACTTCCGATGTTCGGACTTAAGGATGTACACCTCTGAGAAGTCAAAACATTCCTGTATTAAACTTTTTTTCTTATATGGATTTTTGGAAAAAGGAGTTAATGGCATAGTAGAAAATGCAAAAAAAAATGTCCGTGTGTTCGTTTTTGTGCTATGATGGGTCAAAGATACCAATTTAACACAACATGTGGTTTTAGGTGATTTTTTGGGTTTTGACCATTTGCAGAACAAATTCATACACTTTCTTCCAAGTGTGTTATCATATATGTATGATTGTTTGTAGAATTGATGAAAATATTACTTTCTTTTAAATTATGGAAGTAAAATTTCTTAATCGTATTCTTTCA